GATCAGGGACGAGGATGAGGAGTTCTAATTTTTCATTGAAGTGCATGTTGTTATTTTATTCTTGTGTTGTGGCTAAAATGATCTTTCTGCAAAGTTCCTCAATTCTTCTTTCATCTCGACTAATTCACTCTTGTGGTACTGTCTTCTATCAGCCTATTTAAATTACGTTTTAACATTAACAATAATAATGGATACCAAAATAATATTCAATCTTCAGGCCAGGTTTTAAAGTGGTTGCTGCTGATTTATTCAGTGTTAATGCAAAACATGACACTGTGTCATATACATACACCTGCACAAATGCCTATATCTATATAGCCATTGCTTTATGCAGGCAAAGCTTCAGCAAGGAGGCCTGTGAGAACACAGGGCAGCCATGCTTCCCTGCATGTTGAGCAAGAAGATGGCTATGTGGGTGTAGTTCTCATTGAGGAATAAGGAAGTGATGTCTGGTACCAACATCTGCTAGTTGCCCTGGCTGGTGGTCCTGGTGAAGCTGAGCGTGTGGGTGTACAACACCTCAACTCAGGGTCCCCGGGATCCTCACACCCTCATGGTTCTGGGTGTTTGAGATGTGAGCACTCCTGCCTCAGCCTTATCTGCATTGAGAAACTTGCATGCATTCCAATTGTCAACCCATCCCCCTCTGCCCACTAGTCACATCCCTGGTGCCACATCCATACATTTCTAGAACACCTCCAAGGACAGTGACACAACCACCTCCCCAGGGCAGTGCCTCACCACCCTTTCTGAGAAGAAATGTTTCCAAATATCCAACCTGAACACAACAATATCCAACCCTGGCACAGTTTAAGACCATTCCCTCTCATCCTATTGTTGCCACATGTGAGCATACACTGACCTCCACCTCCCCATAGCCTCCTTTCAGGCAGCTGTAGAGAGCAGTAAAGTCACTCCTGAGCCTTCTGTTCACCAAACTGAACAATCCCAATTCCCTCAGCTACTCCCCATAAGACTTGTGCTCCAGACCCCTCACAGCTCTGGAAGGGCAGTTGCTGCTGTGGACTTGGGCTCTGGGGGCAGGTAAGGAATATTACCAGGGCCACAGGTTTACCAGCTCCTTTCCCTTCCAGCCTTCTCCTGGATCATCCATGGCACCAAAGGACATGGTACTGTTCTTCCTAGAGCTCTTTGTTACACTTCATGTGAAGTTGCCACCCTTTTCCACAGCCACCAGCAAACTGAGTGAAAATCACACAGCTCAGTGATTTGTGAGTGTGGTGGGTGGACAAGGGCTCCAAAGAGGAACGTGTGGAGGGCTGCAGGGCATGGGCTGCCCGCCCAGCTGGCAGAAGTGCTGCGGCTGCAGCGTGCCATGAGATCTGATGTTGCAAAAGGGCTGTGCAGGAAGCAGCTGGGTGGCATCGCGGTGTTCCTTTGTTACACCCTTCCCAGAGGCCTGGCCCAAGCCTAGGGAGATCAACGGGGATTTTTGGAGTGGCAGCGAGGAGCTTTGAGTCAAGCCCTGAAACTTCTGCAAGCCTCAGAAGACATTAGCTTTCACGGCACCGAGCAGCATGGGGAGGCTGCGGCAGAAGTTCTGGTGGGGACGGGCCTACAGTACGGGCAGGAGGGGCGGGGTGGGGACAGGGTGTGGGGAGCGGCCCTGCTGTCCCTGCTCCTCCTGGCACGGACGAGGCAGGCTCTGGCTGCGGCTCTGTGAGGGTTCAGCAGCTGAGTCAGGGCCTTGCCCGGGCCTCTCCCTGCCCACTCCTCCCACAGACCCACCTGCCGTGCGCTGTGTCAGAACTTGGGCGACCCACCCGAGGCCTCACGCTGAAATGGTGGCTGCACTCCACAGCCATCATCGGGTGTGCGGGGTTCCTGCGGGTTTACTGGGTCAGCCTCTGCTCCTGGGTAACAGTGACAGGACAAGAGGGAATGGCCTTAAGTTGTACCAGGGGGGTTTCAGGTTGGATATTAGGAAAAATTTCTTCTCAGAAGCAGTGTTGAGGCAGTGGAACAAGCTGCACAGGGAGGTGGTGCAGTCATCAATTGATGGGCATCATTGTGAGATGGACTGATGATTGAACTGCATAATCTTGGCTTTTTCCAACCTTAATGATTCCATGATTCTGCCGAGATATGCATTGGAGGGGTGCTTCTCCCAGGCAGGCAATTGGGCACCGTTTCCTTGTTACATCACAGCCACAGCAAGGAGCAAGGGGAAGAGCCAGCAGGGCAAGGAGTGTTCCTTTATGAAGAAGATAAATAGATTTATTTCAGAAGTACAGCAATAAAGCCTTGGTTTAGTGTAGGAAATAGAGGTAACTGTGGCATGTAGAAAATCAAAGGTGCAAGTGAGGTCCACCTCAAGTTGGTGGCACGCTTCCCAGCCCACTGCAGCAGGGTGGTGGGGGGTGATGCAGTATGAGCAGTTGACATGATGTGTGTCTACAGGGTCCCTGCTTGTCAGAGGGGCTGGGATGCCTGTGCTCACTCTGATCTGGTGTGGATCCACAGGTTGGCATTAGGTCAGGGTAGTAATTTGAAAAATGAAATGCAATCTCAGAGCATCCCACCACTGGTCTGTTTTGTGTCTTTGGCATCCAAGGTTGCTGGGATCAGGTCAGCAGACAAAACTGAGGCTGCAGGAGGCTGGGCTCAGAAGAAAGAGATGGAGGAGGATATGCAGTGGGGTTGGAGCCAATGTCTGTTTTGTGTAATGGGAGTGGAACATGTCAGACACAGAGCTGGTCAGGGCTCTTCCTTATTTGATAGGAAAGCAAGAGAGGGGATTTAAGGAGGGCTTCTTAAGAGATTCTGAATAATCATTTGGCACCTGGGCCAATTTAAGCAATCTTTGCCCCAGGCATAACAAAGGGGAAAATCGCAGGGTGGGGATGTGCAGGAACAATTAAGCCAGTTACTAGTAAAGAAACTCGCTGAATTTATGCCAGCACAGCATAAATTTCTGGTGACTGGCAGGGCAGAGACTTTGGAGACCCTGGCTGTGAGTGATGATGTGGGAGCAACAGCAGGCACAGTGGAGGGCTGTGAGCTGATGTGCTTTAGGGCCAGGAGCAGCCTCAGCCAGCTTGCAAGGATGTGGGGCTGGAAACGCAACTAAGAGGGCACTGAAAATTTCAGGGACTTTTACTTGGCACTTACAAAAGTCAGATGATGTTTCAGATAAAGGATTGCATGATCAAGGATGCACAGTAGTGTGATGAGAAACATCACAGCCCAACACAACTCAGTCACAACTGATCCACTCTGCTGAGGCAAGAAATCTGTACAAGTGCAGCCTTGGATAAGCTCTGGCTCCCATCCATGGTGCAGGGACCAGCACATTTGTTTCCGGCTCACCCGGGTGCCAGGGCACTCCAGCAATGGAGAAGGGCTGTTTGTGCTGACACTGTATCAGGCACTCCTCATGTGAAACAGCCAACCAACCCAAACCCATTTACAGCACAGCCTGTGCTGATGCACAAAGCAGCACGTGTGCTCATTTTCTTCATTTAGGCTTTGCCCATTTACCCAGGCTTAAACTTGCAACGGATATGAAGTTGGTACTCTTGAAAAATTCAACTACTAGAACAAGAACTACTTTTCAAAATTTTTGTAAATGGACAATGAAAATACCATATACAGAGTTATGTCCAGTTTGGGGTTTAATAGGCATGCCCTTTGTAAGAAACCAAGCAAAAACACCCACCCTCCAACTGAGGAGAACACAGTTGCCTTGAGATGTTTTTTAGGTTTTGTTGACGTCCAGCATAGGTCTATTTAATTTGATCACAGCATAATGAGATGAGGCATGATCATGCATAATCATTAACCAATCTCCATTCCTATTCCCTATATGGTATGTGATTCACAGCGTGCCCTGGATGAAAGTCCACAGCTAGGGCTGCCCTGTGCAATACAACTCTGGACCAAATGTAGCCTCTTTGCACCGAGTCCAGCATAGCATGAAGCCTGAACTCTGTCTTTGTTCTTTAACAGAACAATGGGGAGTTGCTGAGCAGAGCTGGTGAGGCACTGCCCAAACCTTGAACTTGCCCATTGTAAAGAAACAGAGCCACTGAAGTAAATACATTTAGACCATTGTCACAGCCATACATGGAACCCGTGCAGCTTGGAGAAACCACAAGGCTTTCAGCAACTGTACAACCATGCAGACAAAGTTTCATACCTGCTTTTTCACCTTCTAGCTTGCTGGCAAAAATATCCAGAAGACTGTCAATAGCTTTTCATAACAATGATTGGAAAAGAAACTACTGTGAAGGCAAGGAAGTTGAGGAGTGTGCCAGAAGAAGAGTGGCAACCAAAATCCATTCTCTGAGGACAGAGTTGACTCCAGCTATTTTTTCTCTGTTGCTTGGCCCTGCACCCTATTAAGATGTAGGGGCCTATTAGGTTCTACATAAAGCAAGAACAAGCCAGAAGCCATTTATAGTGTGGACACATATACACAAAGTAAAAGTCTGATGTGATAGAAGGAAAACTTAAAACTGAAGATGGTTTATGCATTAAGTGCAGTCTCTGCTCCTTGTGACACATGTAGCAGCTCTTTAGAAAAGTAGCTCTGCAGCACAAAAGCAGTGAGGTTAATTCACTTGCACTAGTATAAAAAAAAAAAAGAACAACTCTGAGAACAGTGCACTCATGACATACTCTGGTGAAAAGTGAGATGCAAAACAGGAGAAGCACACATAAAACAGCATAATTAGGGTCCTCTGCTATACCCACCTCTTTGACACTTCAGGATTCTTCGCTTTCAACAGCACACCTATCCCAAAACTCCATCCTCCTGAGCAGACAGGTTATGTGCTTACCTCAATTATGGGGGATAACAGAATTAAGACACCAGTGCTCTGGGTGGGAACGAGCAGTATATAAACCACACACACTTTAGATGCAGAGTCCTTGCTCAAAAGCAGCCTTTCATAAGCACTTGTCCGGCTTAAGCTCTCACTAGCATTCACATATAGACTCTCACTTCATTGCCAAAGTTTAAAGTGTTTGCCTTTTATTCAGAAGACTTTCTCCATTTCCAGCGTTTAAGATACTTTCCCATGTCTTCCAGAACAAAGAGCCCCTAGTTTCATAACAGCACCAGTCTACCACAAAAGAAAAAAAATAGCTAACAAAAGCAAAAGGTTCAATGATGTGATATAGCATAAGGAAACAAATACAGCAAATGCGTTAGAGAAATAAACATGTGCTAAGTGGAGTATTTACATAAAATTATGTATGTTCCTATAAAATTGGCAGCATGCAATGAAAAGATTAACAGGAATACTTATACTAGGTCTGCTAGTTGTCAAAAGCAGGTCTACTTGGACTGCACCTGTATCGCCATGCTGCTTTTAGGCACAGCACTGCCCTCAGAAGCTAGCTACCCCAGTTCTCCACACTACCTGTGGTGGGGATTTCATGCAGCCCCACAGCCAGCAGTGCGGATGCAGGTGCCTCAAGCTACTCATCCAGACTCAAGCAGTGCTTGCAAAGCTGTAAAGATGCTATTTCCTCTCCATGAATATGGTAGCGCAGGGTTCATCTGCAATTGCCTGCTTAAACAAAGCGCAGAGTCAGTTGCTTACTGTAACACCTTAAGTAACATGGAATCTTAGATTTTACAAAAATACTTTAATTTTCTGTTTACAATCAAAAACTATCTTTATTACAAAACAGTTTGAAACATTAGCACATCTAGCTTGGAAAGACTTTTGTTCTTATTGCTGTTGCATAGTGTTTTCAAGGAACCACACAAAGGCACTAGTGCATTTGTCAGAGCATCCTTGTAAGGATATCTGTAGGAAAATACAATTTCCTATTTAATCCTCATAACTTTCAAATGTTTAAGCTGCCTTTTTTTTTTCCTCAACAGGTGCATAGCTGACACCTGTCACTACACATCTAAATCTTCCCCAACAGAAGCTGTTTAGTATAACAAATTTTATTTGCAGCCATTAGACAAAGAACATTCACCCTTTTCAGAGTGAATACCAGCACTGACACCACCTTAGCTACTTGTGAATCCTATAACTGTGTTCTGACAGCTATCAGATATTAACTCATTCATTTCATTTTGTTTGGTTTCTTCTTTATTCTCATGGTTGGGGTGGTGTTTCTGATTTCCAGCTTTTCTAGACCTTCTGAGAAAAAATTTTGTCAGTAAATAACATAATTCAGCCACATTTAAAAGAATGCAAATGCTGGACACAGCAATCATGAAAATAGTGAACACTGTCTTTTCAGTAGGTCGAGAAACAAAGCAGTCTACTGTGTTGGGGCAGGGCCAAGCACTACATTTCATTAAGCGAGGCATTCGGAACCCATCATACATGAAATAGAATGCATACATGAAGACTGCTTCAAAGACCAATCTGAAGAAGATGCTGCAAGTGTACGTCCACCACAGGGTGCCCTCAATACGAAACTTCTGGGTTCTGATCTCTTCAATGTCCTTATACTCGCATTTCTGGTCTCCCTTTCTGAACTGCCTTTTCTTCTCGTGCCTCCTGTAAGCCACATGCATGGCCACCAGCAGTGCAGGGGTAGAAACGAAGATCAGCTGCAGGGCCCAGAGTCTGATGTGAGAGATGGGGAAAAAGTGATCATAGCAAACATTCTTGCAACCAGGTTGCAAAGTGTTGCAGATAAAGTCATCTTGTTCATCTCCCCAGACTCTCTCTGCAGCCACAACCAGGATCATGATACGGAAGATGAACAGGACTGTGAGCCATATCTTGCCAATGCTGGTGGAGTGTTTATTTACACCGCCTAAGATGGTCTGCAGAGCTCCCCAATCCATTGTCTTGTTTTAAAGGTATGACCTAAGACAAGACAAAAAGAAAAAGGTTCATCAGGGTGGGGAAAAAAATACTATTAAGCATACAGTATAAAATAAAAGCAACATTGTAAATATAATTCATAGGCTGTGGTAATGTCTTGTTGACACGGTCTTTCTGGCAAGCAGTCAAAGTGGCACGGTAACCAAATATCAGCAGGTGACATTTTGTTGCTTGATAACGTGAAGGGAATCTGACTGCTAGGCATATTTGGCAACTGAAAACTTCTATCCACATCGGTAAGAAGATGTAGACAAGGAAAATTGGTAAAATATGACCTTATTTAAAAGCTACAATTTCTAGAAGCTTTTCTAATAGGAGCAAAGAACAGAAGATTATATCAACAGTCAAAAGCGAAGTAGGTGTTATGGTGAAACGTAACCAGAATGAGAGATTCCTCAGAGCCTCTGGAATTCTCAAGGTGAACAGAAAGAAGGTGGTGAGGTAGAAGCTCTATTGTAAAGTTACAGAAAATCAAAGAAACTGAAAAACAAAACCAGCATGGTCACTTAGTTACTTCATTTGAGAAGAAAATAGCTAAACTTAGGAAGCTGAGACAAGTTTGCACATCCTTGGCTTCAGGGCATAAACAACATTTTCAAAAGTACATTATTCCAGCAATAAAGACAGACCTCAAGGAGCTGCTGTGGAAGCTCTGTGCCTTACATGAGGAGGCCTGCACTGCCTGCCTTAGGAAGTTTTAAGGATGTGGCTGTACGGCTCTCTTGTTGCAGAAAAGAAAGCCACAATTTCATGAGGGGATAGAGATGAAACCTTGTCACAACCTATTTTCTTATCTTGTTTAAAATCAGCACGATGAGGTTCATCCAAAATTGTGTTCCTCTCCACTAACTACAAAAGACAGTGTAGGGTACTGAGGCACAGGACATATTCCCATGCCCACCCAGATGACCTTCCCTTATAACACAAGTACATTACTCCTCAAACAGGAGAGAAGTTTCAGAAGCTGGGAGAAAGCCAAAGTCCACAGACAGGCCAGCAGAAGCTCAGAGACTGCAACAGAAAGAGCATTTCCAGTAGTTGGGATTCAAAGTATAATGACTGTAAAGCTAAAATGCTTTGATTTGTTATCTGCCCCATACCTCTCCAGGAACACTGCAACTGTTTGTGGAACCTGAAGAAATCCACACAACAGGCATTTGCAGCTGGCATAAAGAAGCATTTCACACCCCTTCTCCCTTCCGATGAATTTACTGAGAGGTAATTTGCATGTTACTCTGAAATTAAGAAAACATTTCTTGTGCTTCTGAGGCAGAAGTGCTCCTCAACCTCTTTGCTCTGCAATTTCTCAAGAGGTTGATTTCTCAAATTTGTGAATTTTATCATCTCTCAGAGATCATCTTATTTTGGCAGTTGCAGCACAGGGCACTAATGAACAAAAAACACTTCACCAGGGGTTCTAGAGAACAGCTCTGTTGCTGCTGGCAAAGCCCACTGCATCTGTTGTGATGTAATTCAGTTTTTATCAGCTCTGAAATAGCTGCAGAGTGTTCCTTCCTTATCTTCCTTGTGCAGAGTGACCCAACTGCTGCACCACACTTCCATTTTGAGCACTGTTCAAAACCTCCCTGCTGGTTACATACATTCATGAATCACATACAACAGTACAAAGCATCAAAGAACACGACAGCTCTGGCAAAATGAAGAAGTCTGATCATGATGTGAACAAAGGGTTTTTTCTTTCCTGGCTTATTGGAAGGTTCTGGTTGCCGAAAACATGTTTTACCAGGTCATCTTGGATGACTGTGTGGGGTTACTTCAGGAGCAGAAAGAGTGGGGTGGAAGAAGGGCAAGATTTCCTTGAGACTGTAAGAAACCTTTCCTGATTCTGACTCTCCTGCGGGATGCAGTGTGAGATATTACCTCTGCATCTGTCTGAAAAGAGTCCTGGTTGCAGAGCTGCCTTCCTATCATGTTTTGGGTTTTTTTTCCTCTCAAACATAAACTGTATATTTCATCAGCATATGGATATAGAGAAAGTCTGTGCAGGTTAGCACACGAGAGCACGGGAAGGACTCTGAACACCAGAGATACTTACAAACAGATTTTAAAATATTTGACTCTATCCCTCTTTTTGCCGTCTTATTTTAAATTGCTCAGATCAGGTGTTTGTTTTGTTTTGGTTTTTTTTTTTTTAAACCAGATCATCATATAATCAAACTGAAGAACTGAAGCAGAGGAAAAGTTACAGCTTTACTACTGATATTCATGTTCTCTTACTAATGTGCACGTTGCTACTATGGAACTAATGATGTGGCTGACATACCTCAGCACTGATTAGAAATACCTTCATGCACCACAGTTCTAAGTCCTATGGAAGGCAGTTACCACATGAACTGCAGCATTACGCCTCATCTACCCAGTCTTTAAATCTAACAACTTGGGTTTCTTCTGTCATTGTTCCCTCTTTAATCAGCCATCTCCATAAATACGAGAAGATGAGAAGGAGGAACTGCATATTCCCTTCTCATGAGCCCCATTTCTTATACTTTCTTGCCTCACTGTAAACCAATGCTGCTGCCTTTCTGTTGATACAGCTTCCCAAGAACTTGTTTCCATGTACAATTGTACTTCCTGTCTCCCTGTGAAGAACGAGATACCAAAATACAAGTGCCTCAGGGTGTACTTAAAGGATACCCTGTCTTTAGTGGCAGAGCTGGATACAGACACTTCCCCATCACTGCTTGGTGCCTATGCAGTTCTCCATCCTCTGCAGCACTGTGAGGGTACATTATAACCCAGAACCCAACTGGTTTGTTTAGAAGTTATTCCCAGTACCGGTATATTGTTGATTTTTTTTCTTTTTCCAACCTGACCCATTTCCATGTTCTGCTTTAGCACACAGACTCTACAAACCATTTGGAAAGAGTGTCATTTTAAAACAAACTGCACATTGCAAAGCATCAGAATGAGCAGCTAGTGGAAAAGAGGGTGTTGCCCTTAGCAGGGATGCTTCTTCAAGATATTGTGAAACTGCACCATTCACCTGACTGTTCCATCTCCACTGAGAGCATATCATGTTTCAACCCTAACGAAACTACGTCTGTACCTGGATGCAGGCAGAAAAAGAAATGCACTTCAGAGAGACAGCTGTTCCTAATCTGACCTGATGGGCAAGTAAAACAGGACACCCTCCCAGGGCCATCTCCACTCCTTCCCAAAGCCCTTTGACGTTCATATCCACCCAAACATTCCCCTCTTCACTATTCCCACCCACCTTCCAACTCCTCCAGCAATCTCTCCCACTCCACCTGTCACCATCCCATTCTTCCTGCTGCTTGCTGAGCTAGTCACCAACCTTTGTCCCTCCTTGTTCTACCCTCATGGCCTGACTTGCTTTTATGCTAGCAGAAAGGCATGTGACTTCTGAGGAGTTCAGGAGACTGATATAAGCACTGATCAGATACTGCACTCAGTGAAGTTCTTGAAGAGCAGAACAGCTGAGACTGCAAGGCCATATTCAAGCAGCTGAAACCCTACCCAGATACTCTGGACCTGGTTTTCCCTGACTTTTAATATTAGATACTCTAAACTGTGTTACTGAGAGGCAAAGGCAATTCATAAACCACTGAAGTGCCCACCTTTCATCCAATAAATAGACAGTGACCAAAGCAGAATGCAAGTTAACTGAGTATGGCCCTTCACAGACCACTCCATCCAGACATCAGGTCGGGGCTATCTGCAGTGATGCGAAGTCTCATTCACTCCTAGTTTACTGTGTACTGATGTGATGTCTCATTTATTCCTAGTTTACTAAAAAATGTAGGGTGCTGATCCCCACTGCAGGTTATCTTTCTTTCAAATACTTGCTTTCCAGACCTCCTTACTAGTAAGTAAAATATTAACTGTCTGGCTGAACAATGGAAACAAAAGCAGGAAAAGGACTTCCCTTTGATGGCTGCTAACTCTTACAGATAATTGTGTGAGCCAATCCACTTAAATGCACACAGAAATTACAGCGTGTAGACAGTATTTGCTCATCTCAGAAGTAAAGCACTGGACAGGAATAAGTTAAGACATGAAAAGCCAGATGAAATTGGGACAAAAGAAAAAAAGTACAGTGGGAATAGGGACTGAAGATAAAGGGGGAAGATGAGAAGAACAGAAGATAAGGTAGTAAACTCTAGTAGATGAAGCATTTAGAGTGCATTTTGAAATGAGACTGTGGTAACATCTGTTCTTCTACTGGCTGAACCCTTCTGTTCCTCCATCTGAGAAATCAGAGGAGCAGGACAGCACAGCTATTACAGCAGGAGATAAAAATGATCCTAAGATGTCACTACTCTCACCCAAAGAGCTGGCAGTGCAGGAAATGGTTCTACATGACCACACAACACATGGAGAGGCACACAGTTCTTCCCCCAGTGGGCTCAGGCACCATTAGAAGGCCAGACAGCAGGAGAAATAGAATTACCTATTTCTGCAGTTTTCCAGCTGCTGGGCAGGTTTTGAGCTCTGCTCTGCCAGACTGCTTACTGCTTAAACTAGTTCCTGTCAACCTGCATTAAACAACCACCACGGCATTCTGCATGCACCCACTACAATCCCCCCACATCACACCACCACCAAGCACTTCAGGCACACAGCTACTTGCAGGTGATTTTGCTCTGCTCTGGTAAGGACTGGTATACCAGATAATCATTAGTCAGTGGTCAAATCCATGGCTTCAGCAAACCACAGAGTGCAGAGCAAAGATAGAAACAACAGAAGCTGCATCGCTTTCACGAACACACTGTGGAACTTACTGCTATAGGATATTAACAAGGCAAAAAAAGTCATGTTGGAGGCACTGTAGGAACATCTAAGGGATCCAGTCAGGAAGTGGCCCACAGCACGTATAAATTCAAAGACTGCACACTCCTCTGCTATGGTCCAATTTATTATTCTAAGGGAACCAAACAGAAATGCAGAGGTTGTCCACAGTGTCTCCATTCCTATCAGAATTTCAGTGTAGGGTACCAGCAGTCACCAGTGCAAAGTGCTTCTAGATATTGGTATAAGATCAGCAGTCTGCGAAGACAAATGTCCCTTCATCCAACCCAGGAGTACCTCAGCTGAGATAATCTTTAAACAAAACGTACTGGTCTTGATCGGAGCTGGAGATAAAGAAGGAAATCAGAAGCCTGAGAGCAGCAGCTTCAACACAGAACAACATTGTCTGGATGGAGTCTAAGAAGCTTCTTATAAATACATATTAGATCAATATCTTCCGAAGACAGCATCCCTTGATCTCAGCAAGGAAGGCCAGCACACAGGCGACAACACTTACCTGCTGACTCTCCCAGACTGTCTACTTAACTTTAAGCCTACCCCACACCTTAGTTCCCCAGACATTAAATGAGATAGCAAGATCTCACTTTCTCACAGGGTTGTTCTGAAGTGCTCCTCTACAATTGGACACTTCAGAGAGTCATACTTCGTTATCAGTGGACCAAGAGTGATAAGCACTATTTCAAAGTTGAAATACAGAGCTTAAATTGAACCATTCGGAACACTGGTTACTTAAGAGAGAGCACAGCTCCTCCCATTGTGACAGCTGCAGTGTAGAGTTCACACTATAAGATGCAGCTTTGAACTCTGACTCAGGCAAACTGAAATCCTTTCATTTCACTATTATAAGAAGCTTCCAGCTATTTTAATTTTACTGCAGTACATTAAAAACATAAGAGTGCTTCAACTGCACACTCTTTCAAGAATCAACAGTTCTACTAAGAAGTTGAATAAGGATCAAAAGATCAATCTAACAATCCCAAAAGCCCGTGCAGCTCTCCAGCAGCTTTGTTCTGAGCACCTATCTCCACATCAGAGTGGAAACTGGAGAGCAACAGAAGAGCCAAGACAGATAGGAGTTACAGTATATCTGATTTGACACAAGAACAGGCCAAGACTAATCAGGAACAGGAAACCTCTGACAGTTGCAGGTCTGAACACAGCAAGCATTGTGTTTTCTTCTACTCAAAAATATCCCAACAGGATACATTGTTTGCTCTAAGCCTCACGTAAGAAAATCTACAACCTTTAAAACAACAGGTCACTACCCAATCTGCATGTAGTATTAAAAACATATGCTAAGTAAATAACAACAGCACTGAGGATTCAGCCCCACACTGACCACATTATGACTACCCTATTTCATGCCCTTACGTCCTCCCAAGCCATTTTCCAAGCAGGTTTGGAAATATCCATGGCTATTTCACTAACCTATAACTACAAATGGAGTATTATCATGCTCCAGAACACCTCTGCATGAAATTCACTCCACTTGTGGAAAATAAGACATTGGAAAGGTTGGTCATGCTCGAAGGTATGACAAGATTGAAGAATTCCAACTAGAATTTGGCCCCTCAGCAATTTTTGAAGGAAAGGTTTACAGGGGGAAAAAAAGAGTGCTTATCAGCCCTTGCTTTGAAAGGGATTCAAATTCCTGAGGACTATTTCTTCACTGATGTGAGTGTCCTATTTCCCAAATTCTAAATAAAGTTCTACGTGCACTTGGCATTGCCCCCAGATACAAAAGTAGCAGTACTGTTTGTCTGGGTTTGTAAAAGACAACAACAATCACCAGGCTTAGGCATACATCCACATTCTCTCTACAGATTCACCATGTGTTCCTGGAGATACACCCACTCCCACCTCACAGGATTTCTGACGGGCAGATTGCTTCCTCAGAGAGGGGCTGAACCTTTATGGAAACATCATCACTATTTTATAGTGGAATGCAGCTTTTCCTTCAGCGTGCATTTTGTCAGTATTTCTTTCAGTGAAAGTAGAGATAAAAACCAACTTTTTCCTTTCAGAAGTGTCTATGGCAGGAAGAACTACATATGAGATACAAAAAATAAATAAATAAATAAATAAAATAAAATAATTGTTTTCAGCTTCCCTTTAGTAACTAATTGCTGCATTTCTATATTGTTCATATTCCTCTTGTTTTAACAGCACTGTATCTCTCCTCATACATCATCACTTCAGATTTTCCTTTATACAAAACAGTACTTAGTCAGGCAAGAGTGGGGTATCTTTTCAGATAAGCCACCAGTCATCATTAACAGCAATTAAGAGCTGTGAGGAGCAGAACAAGGAAAAAACATCTGAAGAAAAACAAAAATTAAACCCATGCTCTCATTTGTTGAAGTTTCTGACATCTTTTATTTCCCCATTCACATAACAAGAAGCACCATTTGTAAAGCGCCCTTTTTGCTGACAGCTGAATCTCTGCAGTAACTTTGTGCAGTAACTTAAATGTACCTCAAAGTACTGCTGTTTTCCTAGATACTGAGATATTCTATTGTACCTTTTTCACTTTTTGCACCAACTCAGTGAGTCTGCCAAGTAATCTCACCCTGGTTAGACTTAAAGGCATGCAAAACAACACAGGCAGAAGTCCAATGTTCAGTAGTTCAAAAGAAGTGGCCCTGTCATGAAAAAATGGATTCTTCCAGAGATGCATCAGAAGCCATGCTTTTTTATTGCTCCATTGTAAGCTCTGTGACACATAGTCCTTATACCACCAGTTACCAGACTGGCAGTCCTGGGGACTGAAGTCTCAAAGAACGTGCGCTAGAAGAACATCATCGTGGCTCTGCAAACATACGCAAACCCCATCTAGAAAAGTCATACTGCAATCCCTAACTGGACACAAAGGTGCTTCCTTCGAGCTCATTGCAGAAGACTGAAGCCTGACTCACTGTTGCTCTGTCTCTGAGCTAAATCTAGTCTTCCTCCGTGCTGCTTTTCCTGCCTTATTTCAAGGCAAGTGGGCTGAGCAACAGAGACCAAGAGATAATAGAAACCACAGAAATTCATTAACGAAAATCAAAAATGAAACTAGCTGATGCTACTTTCAACCCAGGGCACACAGACTTTGTGGTAAACCCAGCCACAAGCCAGGCCCAGACCTAGATATGACTACACACAAGCCACAGCTCATTAGTGATAAAAGCACAGCAACTTGGCTTAAAAGAGCACTTGAGATAAAAGGCTCCTTGTCCTCTAACCACCCTCTGATTGCTCCCTTGGAATATTTCATAAAATCACAGAATCGTTAAAGCAGGAAGAGACCCTTAAGACCACCCGTCCCAGCCAGGCACCCAGCGCCAGCACTGCCCACTATCCACGTCCCTCAGAGCCACGTCCCCGCGTTTCCTTGAGCACCTGTGGGAGCGATGCCTCCGCCAGCTTCCCACTTACTGTCCCCAGTAACGCCTCGCCAACCGGCGGAGATTTTCCTTAAGGAAGAGATTCCTCAACAAAAGAGGGGGAGCAGCGGGCCGGGCCGGCAGGAGCAGCGCCGTGCTCCCAGCCGCAGCGCCGTGCTCTGACTCACGGCTCAGCTCCGCTCCCCCGTAGCTCTGAGGAATGCTTCCAGCGCGCGATCGCCGGACCTGTCAGTTCGCTGCAAGCTGTTTACCTCGGCGCAGCTCTCCGAACGTCCGTAGGTGTGCCGCGAATTACCTGCAATTGCGGAAGCCTTTATTTCGCTCGGTGCCGCAGCTGCTCGGGCACTTCACATAACGCGCTCACTAAGAGAGATTGGGGATTAGAAGAAGAGCTGTTAGGAGTTAAATAGACACTAGTGACCGAGAAAAGCACTCCCGATAAGGCCGGGGCCCCGCGCTGCCCCGCAGGCTGCGGACGAGGAAGCGGGGCGCGAAGCAATGAGCCCCACCGCGGGGCAGGGTCCTGCCGCCGCCTCCGCCTCGTTCTTCCCCTCGCCCGCCCGCCCGCCCGCCCTCCCTTCCTGCCTCCCGCCGCTCCCCTCACCTGCCTCAGCGCCGCCGGGACCCCTTCGGGGCCAGCACCCGGGCTCAGCGGTGCGGTGCCACAGGAACAGCCGGCCCCAGGCTCCCGGCCCGCAGCTTTAAGGTCCCTCCCCGTTCACCTGCCGCCGCTTTTAGCCCGCCCCGCGCCCGCCTCCACCCGCGCGGGGTTCCTTCGCGGAGTGCTCGGGGCGGAGCCGGGCCGGGAGCGCCCATCCCGGTGGGGCCCGGCTGTGCGGGGACAGTGGAGCCCGCGATGGGGGTCTCGCCCCTTCCCTGAGCCGCCCCTTCCCTGAGCCGCCCCTTCCGTAGCCATCCCGCTTAGGGAGGCATCGAGCACAGGACTATGAAGAGAGGGCAGAGGCAAAGGGCAGGAAGGCAGAGCGAGGCCTGGGGCAATGGGGGAAAATACGGCAAAAAAAGGTGCTGGAGCAAACCCATAGAGAGATGATGGCAAATGTGGGTTTTGTAGGGTAACTGTGCGTGTAAGATAACAGAACCATATGCTGTCTTGTCAAATCCTGGTATTTGGAAGGCTCTGTTCCTCGTGGAAGTTGTGATTGGCAAATGATAGCAGAAAAGCCAATGGTTGCTGGCTTTGTGAGAATGTTCTGAAGGGTCCCTGAAATGCAGCTGCAGCTCCTGGCAGCTTGTGCACTCCTCACACCGTCGCTCTGTATCCATGCAGGACCCACTCTGCACACTGTTCTGTTTCCATTACAGCTTTGCTGTCATAACCTTGGGGTTCAGAAATCTGAAACCTTGATTCCTCCACACATACATGTCTAATTAGAGAAACGGTTGCTGATGCTCTACCCAAATTTCTGAGGAAAGCACATGGTACAACTGCAGCAGCACATCTCAGGGTTGGACATGTGTTCGCACCCACTGAGGACACAGAGTGATGGATCAGGTGACAAAGCCTTTCCAGCTAAATTCTTCTGCCCCTTATCTCCACTTTCCGGAATAAAAACAGTTCCAGTGAAAATCTTTGGCAGAAGTCAATGGCTCATTTCATTGTCTAGCACAAGCAACTCAATCCTTGCATGTGATAGATAAGAAATTGCTGCCAGCTTTGGTTTAAGTATTGCCTTCCATCTCCATGGCACTCATCATCTACCACTCTTCACGGAGCTCCCTGCAGCCTGCGCTTTAGCACCACAGGCATGTTCATGTCAGGGAGACCTCCAAACTTCTCCAGCCCAATCTGCTCCAAGCAGGGCCTGTGTTCCTCTCAGACAGCTCAGCACCCGCACTGCATCCACATCAGTTTCAGACAGAGACAGGTCAGTGCACAGCTGGAGGCCCAAGGTGTGCGATGCTGAGCCAGACTGGCAGTAAATACCTGAGGCCTGAGTCTTCCTGGCTCACTGACTTCCGTGGGAGTTGCACTGGGGTGTGTTCAGGGTTCATGCGCACAGCACAGTGCCTTTCAGGAAGGGAGGCAGCTCGGGGCCATGCGGCCATGCTTTGATAAGGGGAGCCCACCTCCCTATGGGAGAAGAGCTTTGGAGGAGACAACGGGGACCTGTGAGTCTCTCCCTTACCAGCTACGTTCCAGCTCAACTCAGTGATTTTGAAAAAGCCACACATATGCCCTTTATGTCATTCCTAGCTCAAAAAGCTTCCAGCTAAACATTGGGTATGTTTAGCTGCAGAGAAGATTTTGAGTTTGTGCTGTTTGCAAATCTGCATTTGCTGCCAAAAAAAGTTTTTTTACAGAGAGAGAAGTATGATGAGGAACTTGAGGAGTCAAGACTGTGTTTCTTACTGTGCAGTTACCTGCAGGAGAAGAGCCGTGAGCAGGGCAGAGCAGACCTGTCCTGGCTGCTTTCAGGGGGGTGCTGCCCTCCAATGCCAACACCTGGCCTTGATTCCAGAGCAGAAACCCACAGCTCTGGCAGGAAAAGACAAAAAGAAAACTTATTTGATGTTCTGCATTTCCAAAAGGAGATGTTGTTACTGAAGTGGTTCTGTGGTTGGAACCACAATGTCCCTAAGCATGGGTGCTTAGGGAGCCAGGCTCTGCTCCACCAGGCCTTTTTTCATCTTCCCACATGCTTACTCACAGCGCCAGATGCTGCCTCTCCAACCTGGTGGTGCCAACATGCTGTTTGATTGTAAGTACTGATGCTGGGGCTGAGAGATGTGTGCAAGAGCGCTGGAATTTAAGGAATATTGAAAGGGCTTCCTAGTTACAATCTTAACATTTTCTCTTTATGAGAAAAAGTTTAAATATGTTTAGTAATTGTTACTAGAATTAATTAGAATTAAATTGTATTTGTCTCTTCACAGATGAGGAATGTTTTAGAAGAAGCATGGCTTGATAAGGCTGTGACATAAATACATATAAATTCACTGCTTAATTTTTAAGTTAAAAAGGGAAAAGGAAGGGAGGAAAGAAGATAGAAATCACATATTATTGATATGTAATCAAAGAGGAAAAATAAAGTGACAGGGCTCAGAAATTCCATGCTGAAGGAGAAAAAAAATCACCAGGATATTTCTTTTCCAGGCAGATTGCTGTTCCAAAATTGAGATGAGCACTCGAAATGGGAGTTTTTTCTACCTGCAGCTTTCTGGTTGCCCTCTGAGCCTTCACATCTCCAATTACACTCTTGCAGCATTCTGATGGTAATACCCATTCAGATAGAGGGGGAAACAGAAATACCTCCGGTGCTTCAGCGTGAAAGTGTTGTGCAGGTACACCTCAAAGTGAGTGCTCTGTTGTGGCACATTTTATTAGGAAACAACAGGCTGATAAAATATACGATATCTTGAATCCAGTACTTTCTCTACTGTACACAGCTAAGGAATCTGCTCTTTTTTACCATTTATTTTCAGCTTCATTTACTGGCAGACATTCACATAGGGATTATGTTAGCCCTGATTTACATAGACTCTGGAAATCCGAAGTCCTCATCTATTCAGAAATTAAACCCAAAGAGTCACTTCCTTTCTAATGTAATTACTTTAGTGACACTGCACTATCATAAAGGTTGCCTGTATTATATAGTTGTTCATTAAACCACTGCAGCTCCCCAAGGATTTGTACTGTACAAGTGCCTATGTACTTCTCCTGCCAGCACATACCTCACGGGTACTTCTTCGGAGCCATTAGAATTACACTCTTTGTAATGGTGCAAATGACCATCATTCATATCCTTTTGTCCTCTGATTTTTCTCACCAATGACACATTCCCTCTTCTATTTTCACTTAACCAATATTCATGAAGTATCCCAAGACACACATTGGACCATGTACTTTCTTGTAAGGTAACTCAGTGAGCTCAGTGATGTTCTCTGCTTGTGCAGATAGGAGGCACAGAAAAGGCAGAGCAACACTCCAAACCTGAATGATACGGGAGACCAGTGAAAGGGGATGAAAACATTTCTTAGTGCTGCTAGTAGGTGAACAGCCTGACTGAGGACAACCTGCATTTTTACCTCAAAATGGATAAGCACGGCTGTTCTTGTACAAAAGCCATGCTCATCGTTGGAAAGTGGACTGCCATGCGCCCTGGGTAGGGCAGCCTAAATCACCTGTAGACACCCATCTCTTAGCTGATTCCTTAAGCTGACAGCTCCGGATATCAGCATCACCCAGATTTGAAAGGCAGGGCTTTCTCCATCCTTAGCAGCCCAGTAATTTTCTCAAAGCTATTGCTAATGTGGAAGCTGACAGCTTCTATCTCCCTACCTGTTTGGTTTATTACAAGTGTTTCATCAGACCAGCTTTACACTGCTGTGTCCTTCACTCGCTCTGGGCAAAGGGGACAAGGAGGGCTGTTGGCCACGATGCTCAGTCGCTGCTGTGATGTTTCTCCAGGAGCAAGCACTGCAATCAGTTCCTCTGCTCCCATGGCTGCTAGCCCTGGCTCCGGATGTATGATGGAGCTTCCAGCTGATTTAATCAGTTTGTTGTTCTCTGGTTTGATGTAATAAGTTCATTGTTCCCCAGTTCAACTTAATTGAGTCATTGTTACCCGATTTAACTGACTGATTGCTGCCTGACTTGATTTAATTAATTACCACCTCACTTGCTGAATAAGCAAACTCCTTCTGCTGGCTGCCAGTACAGCTCACTGCTCATAGTCCATATACGATCTGCCCCTTCCCCTGCACCAACCCAATCTTCTCCCAGGACCTGATCTCTAGCCACAGCCTCCGTTCCCTTCCTGCTTCTCTATTTTCTCCCTGTAGCTTTTCCTCAGCCCAATGAGGTCATCCTCTAATCCTTTCCTTCCTTCTCCTCTGTTTTTTCCTGGCTTTTGCTCTGAACCTGCCTCCAGCCTTCCTCCTCTTGCCACTGTCCCACAGAAACCTTCTCTGTTGCACTGAATCATAGAATCATTAAGGTTGGACAAGTGCTTTAAGATCATCTAGTCCAACTGTCCACTACCACCAATATTGCCCACTAAACCGTATCTCTAAGTATTACACCTACCCTTTCTTTAAATGCCTCCAGGGACAGTGACTCCACCACCTCCCTGTGCAGCCTGTGCCAATGCCTCACCAGTCTTTCTACTCATTCCCGTAAATCTGTAAATCTGTTCCAGATCTTCCCCAAAGACTTTGCATTTGCTTGCTTGATGCTTCATAGGAATGAGGATAGAATACTTCATAAGCCTTCCAGTACTTGAAGGGAGCATATAAACAGGAAGGGGAACAGCTGTTTACGAGGTTGGACGGACAGTGATAGGACAAGGAGGAATGGTCTTAAGCTGAGACAGGAGAGGTTTAGGTTAGATATTAGGAGGAAGTTTTTCACTCAGAGGGTGGTGACACACTGAAACAGGTTGCCCAAGGAGGCTGTGAATGCCTGGAGACATTCAAGGCCAGGCTGGATGTGGCTCTGGGCAGCCTGGTCTGGTGGTTGGCGACTCGGCACATAGGAGGGGGGATGAAACTAGATGATCATTGTGGTCCTTTTCAATCCAGGCCATTTTATGATTCTATGATTCTATGGATGTCCTTTCTATAATAGATTTCTATTTTTTTAAAATCCTTTTCTGCCTAGCAGTCTTACTCAGGCAGCAGCACTTATCCAGAGCTCTCCTTTCCCTTCACTTCCACCAGCTGTCAGTACCCAAC